ATTAAAGAATAACAAAAAAGATTTTTATTAGTATAATATGATTTATCCTTGGGAAGAATTTCCTCATTGGTTTCAATGTGGATTTATGCTAAGGGCACAAGTCTTTCAGCCTAAGTCTTCAGATGTTAAGATCTATGATTGGTCTGCTTTTGCCCCTCATTTTGATTATAAAAATTATTTTAAAACTAAGTTTCAAAAATTTAATCATACTGAAGGAATGTATACAAGTTCTCCTATTCATTGATGGTTCTCACCTGGTTGGGTCACTCCCATATTTCAGAGTGAGCTCCCTAATTGAAAGGTTTCATAGTTCCCAGATCTCTTTAGATTAATTGCAGCTACTAATATGGTTCTTTTAACCAGACCTGGTAAAACTCCATAACCTTTCAATATTCGTGCTTGCATTAATGCTCTTCATGCTATTTTAGCAGGTAATAATAATACCTTGACAATTAAACATAACAATAGTGTTTATTCTATTTGCTGTGATCAATGTATGTTAACTAATTGTATACATGCTAATCATCTGAAAAACTATACTACTTTTACAATTATATATCAGCCTTCCTATGTAATGATTCCTGTCCTTCTTAATGATGATTGGTATGATGATGAAGGGTAACAAATTCCTAAAAAAATTAATTAATTAATCAGACCTAAGCGATTTGTTGCAGCATTAATTATAGGAATTACAGCATTAATAGGAATTATTACTTCTTTAGCTTTATCTACTACAGCTTTAGTTAAAGAAATTCATACTGCTCATCATGTTAATGATTTATCTCATAATGTTTCATTAGCATTGGCTATTTGAGAAAAAATAGATAAGAAATTGGAGGCCCGAATTAATGCCTTATAGAAAGCTTTATTATATGTAGGAAACCAGATTCAAAATATAAAAACTCAAATGACAACCAAATATCATGCTAATTTCAAATGGATCTGAGTTACTCCCTTAAAATATAATCAAACTAATTATGGATGGAATCAAGTACAAACTCATTTATTAGGGATTTGGAATAAAACTGAAATCGGCCCCAATATACAAGATTTACAACAACAAGTAAAATATAAAAGTAAGGCTTATTTATCTACTGACTCTACAGCTGACCATGCTGCAGACTTATACAAAAATGTACAAAAAACTATTTCCAATAATACTTGGTTGTCATATATGATTAATATTGGTTTTGGCTTTTTATTCATTGTTCTTGTTTGTCTCATTCTTCCAGTCCTCTTCAGACTTGTCTGGAAATCAATCAGAAGCATCTCCATGCAAATTGAACACCTCAAATTAAAAAATAAAAAAGAGGGAAATGCTGCGCCCCTCCTCTGACTCAGGCAATGGTAAGGGCCTACTGAGGTAGATGGCACAAGGCGTCTATCCTCTGGAGGAGCGCAGTATGTTTCTGGGAATGGGCTGATTTGTTTTTGTATTCCTTTAATAAGTATTGTTTTGATTTCTCATATGACCATTAAGTATGAAAGAAAAATCATGACTTTCCCAATTAATGCAACTACTTCTAAAGCATAAATCTGTTTGCTCTAAATGCAATGATTCAGCTGTTTAGTGTAAATTGTTAATGTCTAATGAAAAACTCCCTGTATTCCTGTCAAGGAAGTTTTTGAGAAATTAAATTAAAATATAGAGAAGAAAAATTAATGTTAAGAAGACACATTGGTGCTTTGTACTGGGCAACTTGTTCTTGTTCCTGTGTACAATGGTTTGTGCTATTACTTTTGGTTGATTAAAAGTAATAACAAGTCAACCACTTGCTGTAACCATGTCACCGGTTCCAGTCAGTAAGTCAAGAAAGAATAGTCAAGGTATAGGCCAATAGTTTGGGACATTTGTAACTATTATTAAAAGTTAACTAAGCAGAACAGCTCAAAGCAAAACTTGAACTGAAAGTACAAATGCTTGCTTATGCATAAGCCAAGATACATTCTTCTATTCTAATTGTAGCTACGTAATATTTTGTTTTGTTTGAATAATGATTCCTGTTTTGTAACCACAAAGTACTGTGAGCCTGCCAAAATGAAAAGTATATATGATCAATTTCACAAGTAAAGATTGAGATCAACACCTTCACTTTGGTGTCTGTGTTGTTTCTCCACCCCCTCTATCGCCGACTCCTCACCATCCGTTTGTCTCCTGAGACCCCCTGTTTGAGCTGGTCTCCAACATATAACCCTAGCCCTAACTCTAGGCCTAAACTGCACACAAACACATCCCTAATCCTAGCCCTAATTTAATCCTATCCCTAAAACTAGCCGAAACCCTAGGACTAAGACTAACTCTAACTCTCACCCAAGCCCTAGCCCTAGTTCTAACCCTATCTGTTACCATAACCATAAAGCTAGTCCTAACTATTATCCTGTGGTTAGATCTAGCCCTAATCCTAGATCTAAAGCTAAATCGAAATCTAACCCTAACCAAAAGCATAAACCTAACACTAACACTAGCCGCAAATCTTATAACTAGCCCAAACCCTAAACCTAGGTCTAAAACAAAATTGAAAAACAGCACTAACCCTAAACTTTAACTTAAACCATACCCTAACATTACACCTAGTCGTAAACCTAGCCATAATTCGAGTCCTAACCCTAACCTTAAAAATTACCCTGACCCTTACTCATATCCAAACACTGTCCCTAGCTCTAAAGACCACCCTAAACTTAAACCAAACCTTAAAAGTAACCCTAGCCTTAGTTCAAGTTATAACCCTAAAATTAAAGCTAACCCTGAATCTGACTGATATCCTAACAGTCACCCTAGGTCTAAATACAGCCCTCACCTTAAACCGAATACTAATAGAAACCCTAGTCCTTATTTGAGTCATAACCCTAACTCTAAACAAACCCTGATGCTGACTCATATCCTAACAATAACTCTATTTTTAAATATTACCCTAAACCTTAAACCTAAACCTAACACTAGACCTAATCCTAACCCTAACTCTAAAACTAACCTTAATTTTAACCCTGGCTCAAAAATTAGACAATGCCCAAAACTAGCCCTAACCCTAACAAAAAAACTAGCCCTATTCTGAGCTCTAAACCTATATTTAATCCTAACCCTAATCCTAACTCTAGCATTAACCCTAGCTCTAAGGCTATCCCTTAACCTAAGTAAAACCCTAAAACTAATGGTAACCCTAAACCTATCTCGAATTCTTAGGCTAACCAAAACCCTAAACCTATTAATAGTCCTAACCTTAGCCCTCATTCTAGCTCTTACTCTTTCCCAAACTCTAACACTGACCCTGAATATTATTCTGACCCTAACAGTAATCCTAGGTCTAAAACTGACCCGAACCCTAGACCAATCCCTACCACTAGCCACAGACCTAAACCAAATCCTAAATCTAGCCTTAAATCTATCCCTAGACGAAAATATTAACCTAGCCCTAGCCCTAAAAATAATCCTTGACCTAACTCAAACACTAACCCTAACATTAGACCTAAACATAGTCCAATTTCTGGCTGTAACCCTTACACTAACTCTAACCCAAACACTGACCCTGCCTTTAGAGTAAAAATATCTCTAAATCTGAACCTATTAAAATCGAATACTAACACTAGACCTAGCCATAACCCTAACCCTACAACTAGCCCTCAACATAACCCTAGCTCTTACATTACCCATAGCCCTAACCCTAGGCCTAAACCTAACACAAAACCTACAGCTAATCCTAGGCCTAAATCAAGCCTTAAGCATAACCCTAACCCTATCTCTATCCCTAACCTAACCTTTGCCTTAGTCCTAATCCTAGCTCAAAGCCTAAATGGTACTCTAAACATAAACCTACACATATCCCTTGATCTAACCATAACCCTAGCCCTAAACCTAGCTCTAACCTTACCCATTACTCTAAATCTAAACCTAACCTTGTTGATAATCCTAGGCTTCATTGCAAACCTCAACCTAAATGGAAAACTAACCCTAGACTTAATCTTAAACATCATTCTTTTCATAGACCTAACCAAGCTCAAACATTAACACTTAATAGAATCCTATAATCCTAAACATAACCAAAGCCCTACCTCTAAGCCTAGACCTCAATGTAATGTTAAAAATCGTGCTAAATCTACAACTAATCTATATATTACCCTAACCCTAACCTACCCCTAATAATGTCACTTGCCATAATCCTAACCCTTACCCTATGAGTACTATAATTTATCCCTAGAAGTAACCCTTAACCTAATCCTCACCCTACACTAACCCTAGCTCAAAAACCTAACCCTAAAACTAGTTTTAATCCTAACTCTAATAATTATTGAAGACCTATTTATGACCATAAACCAAGCCCTAAACTTAGATCTAATAATATTCATTATACTAACCATAACCCTTACCCTAATGTGAATGCTAGGCAAAACCTTAACCCTATCACTAACATTAAACTTATCAATTACCCTAAAGATAGTGTGAGCTCTAAACAAAACCCTATCATTGCCCTAACCCACTACCTAGTGCTACTTAAAGTTCTAACCCTAAACCCTAACCTCAAACAACTGTAACACTGACCCTGACTCTAATAAATCTCCTAGCTCTAAAGCTAATTTTAACAATAAACCTAACCCTTACACTAGACCTAGCCATAACCTTAATCCTTAAAATATCCCCAATCTTAAGCTTAGACCTGGCATTAGACATAGCCCTAAACCTAGCCCTAAACCTAACAAAACCCCAGCCCTTATCCTAGCCCTAAACCTAGCCTTAATACTAACCCTAAACCTAACTTTAGGCCTAACAATAAAAGTAACCCTAGCGCTAATCTTAGC